GCCTCCTTAGCCGCGGCCAAACCGACGTACATCCCCGTTGTGGGGGGCCGTCCTCTACCTCGCTTGGCCGAGGTAGTGGTCGCTGCCTTCGGGCTACGTCCCGACGAGCTGCCGTCCGAAGACGGCTTGAGGGGGCGCTTTCGGACCGAGATCGGAATTTCGTACTCAGAGCACGTCTCCATCGACCGGTCCGTATCGGAGCCACCCTGGCTCGCCGAGCGAGCGCTCTGCGCCACGCTCCGCTGGCTAGTCTCGCTACGCGAGACGGAGGACTGACGCTCACTGGACCGCGTTGTCCTCGACGTACTCGCACGTTCGAGACTAACCAGCAACTTCCCATTATCGTTGAGCAAATCGGATCCGTTGTTCTTGCTATGGTCGTTGGTGCCCACTGCACCTCTACGAGGGTTCCTTGAGGAGGAACCCTCCTGGCGTTGGTTGCCCCCCCCAGAATACGTGGGGCTGACTGCCGTTTCGACAGTGAGGGATTCCCCAGCCTCTTTGAGACTGGGACCCTCCTGGGGTAGTCCTACGTTGTTTTTACCTGACGCCATTTTAATGTGACCCTGTGAGGCAGGGCCGCCCTAGTGTCCTCGGGACGAGCTACCCGCTCGCCATTCATCCCATGGCCGGACACCACCAGCTGGGGATTGGGGGCCGTATAAGCCCATCCATCCGCACACATACATCACGCACAAGCAATATATACAGGGTGACTGGTGAATTACTATCAATATTTAAGGAGCATACTCGGTACATGATTCTCATTCGAATTATGTAAAAAAAATAGGTACTTAATTTTTGACAAAATTTCCGTATAAATAAATAAAGTGTTGACACGTTCCAAGTGTTCCTAGTGTGGACGCGTACGGCGGCGTGCTGATACAAAACCACGCCCCCGCTGCGTATGTGTGAGTGTGTGTGTATACCTAATCTGTAGGGTGTTCACACGATGCGTAATTAATTACATAACTTTTGGTTAACTTTACTTAGAAGTTTATTAATATTTATGTTATATTAATTTTTATTTTGTCATATATGATCGTCAACTACCACATCCTCAAATATCGATAGTAATTCACCAGTCACCCTGTATAAGAAAGACAGAGAAGAAAGACGTTGAAGGACAGAATATATACAATATAAAACCAAAGAGAAGAGTAAACTACATAAAGACAGAAAAGACAGAGAAAGACCTGTGTTCAGCCGTCTGAGCACCTCACCCCGTGTAAAGGGCGGGGTGGCGCACCCAGACGTTGCCCAGGGGCACCAACGTGGAGGAACCGGTATCGCCCCCTTCAATTTAAGTACATATAACGATTAAGACAAAGTCAGATTAATCTTGACTCAATTTTCTGTGTATTATAAATATAAACGTTTATTTACACGATAAAAAATCGGTGTTTTTTTATCAATTCCATATATTTTTATAATGAAGATTATTTTTATTATATATATTTTATATACATATATACATATATATTATATAGATAAGTGTTACAATCTATATCTTAAAGTTTATTACATTTAATCAAAGTCTACTCCAAATCTACGTTACGAAACAATTCTCGTACACACGAAGGCTATAAATTTTAGCAAAAACTTCACGTCAGGGCCGTCAAATATTTTCTTCGATTCTTTATATCTGTTTAATTTAAAAAAATCATCAAACTATATATCTGTCTGTGTTTAGATCAACCAAAATAACTCCAAAACTTTCTAAAATCAATATATTATATTATAGAAATACAATATATATATATATATATATATATATATAAAGGTTAAAATGAAACTAATATTTTCGGATTTACTATTTAATTTTTTATTACAGTACAGTACTTTACAGTAAACGAAACGTCGGGAGTATGTAGTTTATAGTCAAAAATAAATCGCGTCAAAATCCGAAAATATTGATTTCATTTAAATGACTACTCGTGAAAACTTAGATCTCATTATATAAAGGTTAATATGAACCTATTTTGTCTTTATATTTATTAGAGTATATATAGGTATATATAAAATATGAACTAAATTTGGTCCAATGAGTAAAGTTTAAGATAAATCATATATTTCATAAGTGGCTCAGGTGCCCGGGGTAAAGAGACTAGAAGATAATCTGCGTTTGGCGTGACAATAAATATGAAGGTCCATTATTCATAAAAGGGTATCAAAGAGCTTATCTGGGCTATAGAAATATGTTGAAAAATGTGGGCAGATGATATATTAGAAAGAAATTTACTTACCCATATTTATATAAGCGTCACTTACATATCCCTACTAATATTATAAATGCGAAAGTAACTCTGTCTGTCTGTCTGTCTGTCTGTCTGCTACGCTTTCACGCCTAAACCACTGAACTGATTTTAATGAAATTCGGTACAGAGATACAGTTGACCTTGAGAAAGAACATAGGATAGTTTTTATCCCAGACTTTTGAAAGGTTCTCTTGGAAACGCGATATAACCGAACTCCACGCGGCGAAGCTGCGGGCGGAAAGCTAGTTAAATATTAAAAAGGAAATTATATTTTGATATTATGAATCGTATTTTTTGTCCAAATCAGGAACATTCTTCTTCTTCCTGGCAATTTTCTCAGTTTTTGCCAGGGTCTGCCAAATCAGGAGTATTATAGAATTACATATATAGAAAAAAAAATGCAACTTTATACTATTAATGTTTAGTCATGTGGATCTATATGGTTTGATTTAGTCATATAGCTAATTCCAAGATCGATAAAAGATGAAAAGTCGTGGTGGCCTAGAGGTGAAAGACCCGCCTCTCGTGTATGAGGGTGCGGGTTCGAAACCTGACAAGTACCAATGTGATTTTTTCTGAGTCATATGTACTTTCTAAGGACTAAGAGTATTTAAGACACCACTGACAGACGGTGAAGGAAATAACTTGAGGAAACCAGGACTTATCACCTAGAAATCACCAATCCGCCTTGAGCAAGTGTGGTGATGAATGCTCTAACCTTCTCCATGTGAGAAAAGGACTTTGCTCATCAATGGCTACATATAGGCTGATGATAATCTGGTTCCCATACCCTTAACCCAAGAATAAATGCATCATTACTACATACTATTCGTTTTCAACTTTATGTTAAAATTCTTCACAAATAGTAACAGGGTAGATTTGTAAATGAGCAACTTAAAACGCTCGTTTGGTAGTATTACTCACAAACTCGTGGTAAGGCTGATGATATAAATGTTGATAAGTGTATGAGTGACCTTGAAACTATTCCAAGGTCGACAATACAAAATCCCATCCCAAAATAATATCTTTCTATGACATTTTTATCTTTCAGATATAATTTTATCGCGGCCTTACTCCTCTATAAGGATTAATAAATGGAAATATTTTTTACAACGCTATAGTAATTTTTCCTTTAATAAAAATATATTTTACGCACAATGACGCGTTATTGCGAACACAGACCGTCATTATTATTATAAGAACAACTATATATATCTGTATGCGACTGTATATAACTGATATATATTCTATTCTAACATAAAATTTATTAACACAGCGAAGGTTGTATCAAGCGTCGTAAAGGCTTTTCTTTGCGTAATTTTAGTTCAGACAAGAACCGGTATCAAGCTGAGTCGGCTTACCTTCTTACAAAATGAATTTGTGATAAAACTGTCTATAAATACTAGTCTGGACTACGTGGTTATGCCCTAAATAGAAAACTATATTAACTGTGCATTAGACGATGAATTGAATTATTTTCTTGAAGTTATAGCACGTTATATTTGTAACCTAATTTGTACTAGTTTTTTTATTTTATTTGAATGTCTAATATTTTTTCTATCATACTAAATACAACATGACTTCATCAAGATCGTATAATGTATAGCTATTCTACATAGGGAACATTAAGAGTTTTAAATTTTTATATCTTATTTAATAGTATTGACGTTGGTTATTGATTGAGAAACGGGATACGCTGCGTATGTAGTGACGATGAAAACGTAAGTTAAGCATTCTGATATTGATTTAATTTTTATATGATAGATAAATAAAGCTCATTGTAAGCTCATATCAAATAAAATATTAATATACAGGGTGACTGGTGAATTACTATCAATATTTAAGGAGAATACTCGGTACATGATTCTCATTCGAATTATGTAAAAAAAATAGGCACTCAATTTTTGATAAAATTTCCGTATAAATAAATAAAGTGTTGACACGTTCCAAGTGTTCCAAGTGTGGACGCGCGCGGCGGCGTGCTGATACAACACTACGCCGCCGCACGCGTATGTGTGAGTGTGTGTGTATACCTAATCTGTAGGGTGTTCACACGATGCGTAATTAATTACATAACTTTTGGTTAACTTTACTCAGAAGTTTATTAATATTTATGTTATATTAATTTTTATTTTGTCATATATGATCGTCAAATATCACGTCCTCAAATATCGATAGTAATTCACCAGTCACCCTGTATATTACATATATAAATAATAAATTATTGTGAGTTGAGTTGAGTTATTATTGTGATTTGTGAGTTGTGATATTTATTGGGAAATATAAAGAGTAAATAAGTTAAATCTCCGAAAGCAGAATTCAGAATACATAACGGAGTCACTTCTTCTTTAACACCTTCTGACTAATGATATAAAATACATATTTTGATACAATAAATTAATTCCTAATTTTATCGAAGATGAACTGTTATCAGTGAGTCATTCTTTTTAATCAATTTGCTCAGATTAAACTAATGTAGATATCATTTTGTCTCCTTGCTCGATGTATGAACGAATCAGGAACCTTAAATACAACATATACTTTCATAATTCCAGATCATTTGCCTTCCATCTTCACGTTAAACTCATCATGAAATTAGCTCTAAGAGTAACTATGTGCCAAAAATATGAACAATACGAGTTTTCTCTAATACAAATAATGTTCTCATATCTCTATGCATAACTTCGCGTCTAAGTTCTGAATTTAAGTAAGTCTGGTTTTAATGGAACTGTCTCTTTTCAGGAGAGCTATACGGAAGTATCGGTGGCTGTGGCGCCTGATGCTGAAGAGCATTGCCACTGGCCCAGAAATGAACCTCCAAGTGCCGTACCACAGTTGTTGGCAGCGCTAATACTATGTGGTATATTTATGGTGAGCTACTTCATTGCTTATTATTAAATGTTTGACAAAATGGAATTCGATCATTTATGATACATGTTTTGACTGCGGTTTCGTCTGTGTCCCTATAGTGATGTATTGATTATTAGCAGAAATATAATTAATTCAATTTGTTTGTAGATATATTATTATTGAATATGTTATTATTATTATCAATGTTTGACAAAATGGAATTTAATCATAGAAATGTATGATATGTTTTGACTGCGGTTTTCTCTGTGTCGCAATCGTAATGTATTGATTATGAGCAGAAATATAATTACCTCATTTTGTTGTTTTGTAGATATATGTGTATATTAGTGTCGAAATCTGATACGGGTAGAATTAGTTTACTAAGATAAGTTACATTTTCGCAAGACAAATGAACAACGTAATACAGTGAAAGTAGGATAGTAAAGATCGATAGGATATTACTAGTTTTTAACACTTAGTGGATCAACTACTTCCTCTTTCTTTCTCTCTCCGTCTTTTCCCCTCTTTTTTCTCCTTTTCCCCTCTTTTCCTCTCTCTTTTTAGCAACGATTTATTGGTAAACAAAACCAATATAGAAGGAAAATACATACTACGCGTTTTTAAAGTTTTATTTCTTCATACTCCCGACTTTTTGATTAATTTACAGCAAAATCTTGGGTAGACGAGATGGAAGTGTCCTTCAGTTAGTATTGTATTTGTTATCTACGACAAATAATTTCTTTGATTTTCTAGCGTACTGCTTGTGATACCTGCATAATGCGCTAACTGGGATTTAAGATCTTGCAGTGTGGTTATAAACTTGGGATTTTGTGTTTGTTGATGGGGTTCCCGGTGTTAGATGATTATCAGCCATATTCCTCATTGAAATAAGGATGTTTTTAAATATCCATAGCCTAGCAAACCAATCTCTTTATGTAAGGGTCTTCATGATCGATGTACTATGATTTGTCAAATCAGGTGTAATGGCTTAGTCAGTAGATCGTGTGGTTTCTGTAAAGTAACTGAAACGACATCAAAAAATATATACTTATAGTATATCTACAAAAATTCTTCTTTTTAAACGTGTTATCGCAAAAAAACTTAGACTTGATTACATATTTTAATCAAAAAAATATTATTATTTTGGTAAAAATGGATGTGAGTAATAGTTTAGTCACATAACTTAGTGTTTAGGTGATTCCCATTAACAAGAATTTTAGTTTAAATTATGTGAATCTCTATTAAGTGTTCTAATTAGCGTTATTAATATAATTAGTGGCGGATTAATTAAGGTCAATACATCAATACATGCTATACATTATTATAGATATTCTTGCAATAATATGTTAGTCGTCTACGTGTAATATATATTTTCTGTAGGAATTCATTTAGTAAAAGAAAGGAAATATTTCTGTACATTCATAAAATTGAATATTTGTATATAGTTTAATAATTTGTGTTAAATGAACTACAATTATGTCAGTAATTTAGAAGAGAATTATTTAATATTATTATTCATTTTTACAAAATTATTAAGTAAATTTTTTTTTAAACGAAATTTATAATTATTTACTAATTTTTATATAGCATACACAGTTGTAAGACTTATAAAATCATGTGTATATTTAAATTAACTAACATGTTGATATAATAATATGAGTCGTATAGAATCAAAGGCGGCAATCTGCATATTTTGTCAAAATAAAGATTTTTATATGGATTCATAGGAAATTTAAAATAACGTTACGTACTTCATTTACTTTATAACAAAAACGACTATCTCGCAGTGAAATCCTTTTTGAAAATCAGGTTTAGTATCAAATCCGGCAATCTTCAACAGCATAAGAATCAAACCCGGCATTCTAACTCATTCCACCAATCACAAGCGTCCGTGTGGTCACGTGATCTAATGACGTTTGTTGGAAGTTTCTAACGAATTTGTGTCCGTGTTTTTATTGAATTATTATATTTATTGCGATTACTAATATAAAAAAAATATATAACTTGAATCATGGATGTACATCCTAAGCTTGTGATAAATAAGTTTGCCCGGAAACAACAGACAAACTCAAAAAAATGGAAACGAAACTTGGCGAAGAAACTCAAGTAAGTTTATGTATAGGGCTGTCACGTCACTACTAAGACAATGTGTATTTTATGTTTTTTAACCCTAACCAAAGAGGAGTGTTATAAATTTGACCACTATTGTATGTGTATATGTGTGAATGGATTTGCATGCGGTTCTTTTAATATTACTGAACAAAATCAGTTTTAAATTATAATTGTCAGTTTTTTTAAAAGACGCAACAGGAATTTTAGCTTTTCTTTATTGGGTGACTGATTTTTTAAATTTTAATATATTCTGCTTGTTTCTGGGTATGGTTTTGGTTTTATATTCTGAGCATGATTTATATAATGTTTTTCTAGATATTCTGCAAAATCAGTCCCTGAGAGAGTTTGCACTCATAACAAGAAATCGCTTAAATGTGCTTCTTTAACAATGCATGACCTAATGCACTTAAATACAAAATTTTATTCATATAGTAAGAAGATAGATCAAGATGCTATGCTATTGAAATTTTGTTCTATTATTCCTGTGAAGAGTCGGGCAACAAAATATAAAGGCAAAAAACAAACTAGTATTAAGTATTGTGTTGTAATCAACAATAAGAAGGTGCCAATATGTCAAAAATATTTTTTAAGTATTTTTGGTGTGACTAAACACAGAGTGTCTTACGTGATGAAAAGATACTATCACACTGGTGATGTTGTCATTACGGAACATCGAGGCGGTAGTCGTAAAGAAAGTACATTTGGACCGCAGAAGGAATCTATACATAAATTCATTCAAAAACTTGTATGTGTGGAGTCACACTATTGTCGTAAGGCTAAAACGGCTGAAAGATACTATTTGTCATCTGAATTAAATATTAATAAATTGTTTAAAATTTATAAAGATAGTGAATTCGTTAATAATTTAGTAAAAAAATCATATTTTCGCCACGTTTTCAATAATTTTTACAATATCGGCTTTGGTTCACCTAGAACAGATGTTTGCTCAAAGTGTTTAGAATTGAATGAAAAAATAAAGGCGGAAAAAGAACCGTCTAAAAAAAACATTTTGATTACAGAAAAAAGAGTACATTCATTAAGAGCAAAAGCTTTTTTCGAAAAATTAAGAGAATCCTGCGATGGGCTGAGGATAATATCCTTTGATTGCCAAAAAAACCTGCCTTTACCAAAACTTCCTGACCAAACATCATATTATAGTAGACAGTTATATTATTACAACTTTACAATGGTAGAAGGATCTTCTCTGGGACCTTTGGCCAAAGAACGTGTTTTTGCTTATCACTGTACTGAGAATGAATATTCTAAAGACTCTAACTTAGTGGCTTCCGCTGTTTATCACCGACTTACAAACATGGACAAAGAGGGTATAACAGAAATTCGATTAGTAGCTGATGGATGTGGAGGGCAAAATAAAAATTGCATTTTAATCGGAACATGCTCCAAATGGTTATTAGAAAATCAATCTATTAAAAGTATTGAAATAGTGTTTCCAGTAACCGGGCATTCGTATATGCCTGCTGACAGGCAATTTGGTATCATAGAAAAGAAATTAAGAAAATTAGAAGTTATAATTGATCCCAAAGAAATAAGTGATTTGATTGGCGAAACATCAACGCTAATTAAAATTGGATCCGACTGTCCTATATATGACTGGAGAAAGGCGGTCAAAAATGTTGTAAAGCCAACGACGTCGTGGCCAATTGCTTTTATGGAATGTAAAAGATTTATTTTAAGAAGATCTAAAAAATCTGGAAATGTTCTTGTCAGAGGCGAAACTTTGTATAAAAGTGATCTCGCTAAAAGCATTAATATATGCAAACGTCAAAAAAATACTGCAATGATCTGTCCAGAAATTATGCCTGATATTGTACCTGTCAACAAAAACAAAATAAAAGATGTTGATAAACTATTGAGTAAACATTTTGGAGCGAATTGGAAAGAGATTCAATCCCTTAATTTTTATAAAAATGTACTTCTAACTCAAGAACAACTGACGGCTTTGCCTGAAGTCGAAAATTATTGTGAAGGACCGTTAGAGGACGATAGTAGCTTACGTATTTAAAGATATTTGGGTTGGTTCAAGCTAATGACCAGATATCTTATAAGTTAGATGCTTACTTGTAAGTTTTAAAAATTGACATTTTGCAATAACTTTTTGTTTGTACCATTTTGTGTTGTTGTGCATGCCGTGTAATTTCAATATCACCACTTGATTTATACAAATAAAATCCTTAAAACAAATTTATAATATTTTTTTATATCCTTTTTGACAACCCTGAACGAGTTAATTTTTTGGTAAGTTTCATAAACGGCAATCTCGACCTAATTTGGTATCAAAAACGGCATTCTCAGATGTTTGGTTTCAAATCCGGCATTCTCCAAAATTCTTTTCTAAATTTCTACAAATTGTTATTTTTATAGTACACAAAGAGAGTTTAATATTAAGCGCATCAATACTTACATCACTTAAAATAAAGTTACGTAATATTATTTTTGAATCGGACGACACAAACCGAAAATGTTCAATTCTCTGATTTCAGTCTAAGTGTAGATTGCCGCCTTTGATTCTATACGACATATATTATTTTGCGTCAAAGATCAAACAATTTTGGCGTTATAAAAATTACATACTATTTGGGCATTCGGTTAAGTGGTGACTAAAATATAGGGCTGAGTATACAATGAATGGTACTACCTTCATCAGGTAGGCCCCTTAGCATAAAAAACTTGCCCCCTTTTCCACAAAAAAAACACATTTATCTTAATCTATATCAATGTTTTTATATCTAGATCTGTGAACTAGTGGGTGGTTACCTAGCGGGCAGTCTGTCCGTGATGAGTGATGCTGCTCACATGTTGAGTGACTGTGGCGGATTCGCTCTGGCCTTGCTGGCATTCCGCTGTGCCAATCGACCACCTGATGCCACCATGTCCTATGGCTATAGACGAGCTGGTGAGTTTACATTATTGTACTGAATCAAACTAATATTTTATAATAGGCTATATTAAGAATTAACATGAATCTTTCAGCCTATAATGCATTGTTTCTTCATGATTTTAATGTAATTTGTATAATATAAATGGTTTGGAACTACATTTCAATAAAATAGGTGATCAGAGAGAATTATGATAATTGGTAACCATATATTCACAAAATATCGAATTTTCGCGTTCATAAGAATTTTTATGACTAAGGACCATATAGGTATACTTATGTATTAATTTCAATTCATGTATATTTTTAGTATGTTGAATTTCATCGATTAAATGTCAATTCTACAATAATAATAGAGCATAAAAACTTGTATTCTTATGCTAGTATACTATAAGTATAGGGTATCGTGTGTAAAGCTGGCCTACAGTGTATCTGTATATAGAGGTGTCTAGACTGGTTGATTGATCTGACGGATTATATACAATACGGACACACACACATACATATACACACACACACACTACTGCAGTCTAATTAAAATATAGACACATAGTACTTTCTTAAGTTCCTAAACTACCCTCGATCTTGAAGTTTAAATATTAATATAATAATGAAGATAAAATCGGAATGGTTTTTAAAAGATTTCTGTACATTCACTACTATTAAAAATTCTCTACAGAATGACTTCTAACTATAATGCCAATAGAAAACATACGAAACCAAACAAAACTGAATGACGATCTCTCATAATGAACAGTATTTCAATACTGTTACCGAATTTAACAAAACGTCGCCTTTTATACGATTTCATATCCCCCCCACCACCTGCATTCCACATATTGTTAAAGGTATTAAAAATATAATTAAGCTTTATTAATATTAAATCAAAACTGTTATTAAGAATATAAAACGATTATATATTATATATGTATACATAAGATTAATTTATTTTTAAAATAGCCATTGTTGCATCATTTTGTATTTAAATGAAGCCAATTATGTATATAATTAATACTTTGTTTGCCGCTTCAAGCTGTCAATAAAATTAACAGTTTTAAATGGCTCTAGTTTATATATTATTCATGTGCAGTAAATCAAATGAGAATATATTGTCACTTTTCATATATTTAAAATATATCATAGCTTGACATTGCAGTTGTTATATGTATTACATTTGTATATATTATTATATACATATTAGTAATTTTTATAATTCTTTAATTAAATATACGTACATATAAAATATTTATAATTTTTAAATGAATTATATAATTATTGTTGTCTATAACACCAAAGTTCCTTATCCCAAGTTTGTACCGTTATATACTGAGGTTTAACTGTTCTTTATTCATGCAGCTCTAGTAAGTTCGTTTTAAATTCAGTTAGGTAGAGAGAGGAGCTTGGACGGTGGATGTGAGCGTTTAACGCGCGTTAGATAGGGTCCCTTTAACCTACACCTGGGTCTCAAGTCCCAGGCACTGTAGAAGCTCCTCTCCCTGCAACGATGGACCCGGCACCCTCACGGTGAATACATTGAATGATGAGAAGTTTTGTCTTATAACTCTTCACACTTAAAAATATATACTAATTGTTATTAAATGAGAAACGAGAAAATCTTCGTATGAAAATGTTGACGAAACCATTTGGTAACAATACTGAATTCAAATTCAAACATTTGAATCAATTAGGGTTCGTCATGTTATGAAATATAAATATTTATAGCTTTCGACGGGAAAAGGCAGGAAGAATTTTATTTACGAAAGCCTGTCTTTAGGGGTTGTCCATTAATCACGTGATCTTTTTTTAGCATTTTTTAACCCCCCCGCCCCCATTGGTGATACGTAGTGAGGTTTAAGACCCCCCCCCCTCCCCCTTCTCAACATCACGTGTATTTTTAGTACCTACAACGAATCTTAAAATTTTCTGAATATTATCTTAATTTAAGTACAGGTATAAACTATAATCTTATTTTATTCTGAAATTAAGGACCATAATAAATTAATATTTGTTTAAAAATCGCGCGTTAGACGAAAAAATAAATACACGAGATATCTTACTACAACCCCCCGCCCCCTTGTGTTATTTTCGTGATTTTTATCAAACCCCTCCCCCCCCCCTTTCAAGCCTCACGTGATTAATGGACAGCCCCTTACTTATAAAACGTGTTTATCTATAAAATCACTGGTAATTTTTCAATCGATTTATTGACAGGTTCGTCGTAGCATCTTTGAAGGAAAAATCAGGCTGATTTATTTTATAACAAAATATATTCTTCTGAGCTCATTTTTAATACATAATAATTATTTAAATCAGATTAAATATTAAAGGATTCGTAACTGTTTTTATTTGCTTATTATTTTGATTAGTATTTGAAGAATGCTTTTCAAAAAAAAAAATCTATTGCAGCTCACTTTTGTTTAAATTTTTACATAAAAAAATTGGTGACATTAAGTTTTAAGATTACAGCAAAGGTTATAGGAATCGAAAACTGGGGTTCATGTACATATAAAATAATAATAAACGCTTGGTAACCAAAAATCTTAGTTTCATTTAAATGCGTAAAAGCGAAAATCTTAGATATCATAAAAAAATTATTGCAAGGAAGTTTGCTTAGATTTATTTGTCCTCGATATAATTTTTATATCGTTTTTCAATATATATAGAAATGAACATTTTTTATTTCCATCCGTATCGCTGACGTTATTTCGTGTTTTGTTTTTGAATAAGAGGAGAATAAAATTACAATTTATAGATTGAGTTATAACTAAAAATCTGATCTCAAAGGTCGCTACCAAAAACTTGCTTGAAATTGAATAGATTATTACATAATTTGTGGTATTATGAAACAAAAATAATTTCAATGATGATTTAAGTTCCGAAAATTCTTATCCGTTACGGAAATATTAAAATTTTAAAAAGCAGAAATGCTTAAACAATTTACATGTCTTATTTCGATTAACAAATACTTTAGGCTACAGAAAACTTAAACCGTAAATGGTTTCTCTTCTTACAATGCCATTACACACGCGTCACATAATCTAAGTTTAAATCTATTTTATAAAACTAACATCCATCAATCTAAAATACTTTATTTACCCACCTTTTTCTCCACGTCTTCCTCAGTCAAGGGTGGTAGTGCATACACAAATTTATTTTACGAATGTCTATGTCTATGTCCAACCCGTCTTGAGCAAGCGTGGTGATTAATGCTCAAACCTTCTCCATGTGAGAAAGAGGCCTTTGCTCAGCAGTGGGCTCTGACAGGCTGATGACATGACATAGGCGATGGTACTACCTCTATTAGGTAGACCGTCTGTTCGATTACCTTCTTTAGCATAACAAAAATTAAGACTAAAATTTCCTCAATTTCCATCCATTCAGAGGTGCTAGGAGCGATGACGTCAGTTCTTCTCATATGGGCCCTAACCGGTATCTTCGTGTACGTGGCCGCTGTAAGGATACACACGGGCGAATATGACATAGAACCGGACATGATGATGCTCGTGTCTGGCTGTGGGGTCGCCTTCAATATTGTGCTGGCGTTGGTGCTGCATGGATGTGCCTCTGATATAGGTAAGGACCCCTGGTCCTATAAGTAAGAATAACTAGTCACTAGCTCACTACTACCCCGCCTAGAGCGACGCACGTCCCCATTCTGCTCCGCGCTAGTCATTAGACTGCCGAGCGCATGCCACCCCCTCCAGTGGGGTACGTGAGACAGTGTATCATATCTATTGTATTGATATATACACAACAATAAGGACGTCTTGCGAGATATTGTGTTCCAAAGAAATTTCACAATAGCATCAAAAATAGATGTCGTTTTTTAGAGAACAAACGTAATTCTGAATATTTTTTTCTTACTAGCTATCCTGAACTATATTGAATTTTTCGTTTTTACCTTCAATATTATGTTTTTATATGATGGTTATTATTATTTTTTTCCAGCTCATCATCACTCTCACGGCGGGGCGGCCTGTACTCACAGCAGTCCAAAGTTCCGTCTGTTCAGACGTGAACAAAAGAACGGCGCGGTGGCCAACGGAGATTACTCCATGAAGGATCTGACAAACGCTGACGCACACGTTACTGGAGGAACTACTAGGTACTACTATAACTAGAATATATATTCATATCATGTTATATGCAAAATTATTTCTATATAAAATTCTGTTTTTAACATTAAACAAAGTTTCTGAGAGTTTTACAAGTATTCATTCAAATGAAACTATGATTTTTCGAATTACTTCGCCTATTTTATTGCCAAAGTGGAGGAGTTTGAGCAGTAGGGCAGACCCTGGCTAAAGCAGATTTAATTGCCAGGAAGGAATTTTAAATACTCCCATCGTTTCGGTTACTTTGCAGCAACCGTGATCACGTACAGACGACATGAAAATGATTAAACGTAGTAATCCGAAAAAATATTAGTTTCATTTATACAAGATTACGTAAAGAAAATGTAAGATGAAAAAGGATGAATCTGTTACGTTTAGAATATCGCGTTCCAGCAATTTTGTAAATCAAGTATTCACATACTCACTTTTGTGTACGATTTTGTATATAAATTTAGTACAAATAAAAAGAAAGATTTACAAGTATTCGTAATACAATAAGTAGTAAATCATATTGACTCTTTGCATATACATATTTAAATGTATTTATTGTTTTATTTTCCATAGGAATATAAATCTCCGCGCCGCACTCATCCACGTGATCGGTGATCTTATACAGAGTTGTGGAGTTCTACTGGCAGCGATACTCATTAAGATATATGTAAGTTATTATTAACATATATAATAATAATAGTCAGTGGTGGCCTAGTGGTTAAAAGGCCCGCCTCACAAGCTCGAGGGCGCGGGTTCGATCCTGGCACTGGCAAGTACCAATGTGATTTTTCCGAGTCATATGTACTTTCTAAGAGTATTTAGACATCACTGATTATGCATTCCAAAAGAGGGTTGATGTCAAGCAGGCGGCCGGTCGTAAAAATAAATAGCCAAAACTATTTGCAATATGTAATGCAAACCCTGGCTATAGCTGGGAAATTTCCAGGTGGAAGAAGAATAATAATAACTAAAATATGAAATCACCGACCCGTCTTGAGCAAGCGTGGTGATTAATGCTCGAATCTTCTCCATGTGAGATGAGGCCTCTCAGCAGTGGGATCTGATAGGCTGAAAAAAATGCTTATAGATATGAACGTATTACGGTTTTCTCCAAAATATATTTCATGAATACTATTCTTCAAGCACTTCTTAATAAGCAGTACTAGCTTCCAATATGAATATGGTGATGATGATTTCTTGTAATTTTTTCATCCAAAACTAATATTATTATAAATAATATTTATATATTTCGTAGTTATTTTGAAAACTGCCTAGTCTTGGCCAATACTTATATATGTAACTATTCCATAATAATAAGTCTATATATTGTACAAATTTTTTTCAGCCGGACGCGAAGGTCATTGACCCCGTGTGCACTTTCGTGTTTAGTGTGCTGGTGTTGATGACGTCAGCGAGGGTAGTCAGGGACGCCATCTCGGTCCTCATGCAAGCGGTGCCCGGGGACTTTAGGTATGTATATACCATAAAAATATTAAGAAATAATAGACTATATATCTATATATACATAAGGTACATTATGAATATGTACAGTTTCAAGGTCATTACAATATAGTGAGACAGCTTCGTGTAGTTGATTTGCATTTTAATTTTACATAGAATAAATGCAGTGGTTTACAATATCTATATACAGGGTGACTGGTGAATTACTATCAATATTTAAGGAGCATACTCAGTACATGATTCTCATTCGAATTATGTAAAAAAAATAGGTACTGAATTTTTGACAAAATTTCCGTATAAATAAATAAAGTGTGTACACGTTCCAAGTGTTCCAAGTGTGGACGCGCGCGGCAGCGTGCTGATACAACACCACGCCGCCGCACGCCTATGTGTGTGTGTGTGTATACCTAATCTGTAGGGTGTTCACACGATGCGTAATTAATTACATAACTTTTGGTTAACTTTACTTAGAAGTGTATTAATATTTATGTTATATTAATTTTTATTTTGTCATATATGATCGTCACATATCACGTCTTCAAGTATCGATAGTTATTCACCAGTCACCCTGTATATACATATACTGGGTGAATGGTGAATTACTATCGATACTTGAGGACGTGATATGTGACGATCATATATGACAAAATAAAAATTAATATAACATAAATATTAATAAACTTCTAAGTAATGTTAATCTAAAGTTATGTAATTAATTACGCATCGTGTGGACACCCTAGCTGCGTTATCGACACAAATCAGTTTCGTAGGTAGGTACAAATTGATTGCGCCCGGCAAGCTATCATTTGCACGTGCATACGCACGAACCATGTCCAAGTATTCTGCATTTGTGTATTGATAAGCCATACTTAATTACTAATAAGTAATAACGGGTCACACGCACACAAGACATATTAGGTATACGCGTAAGATCGATCGCTAGGCGCGCGCGTGGGAATACGGACGTACAGACCTTACGGCGGCGCTCGCCCGACTAATTAGCCACGGGGAGGGGGTTGGGGGTAGCGACAAACGCGTGCGGCGGCGTGGTGTTGTATCAGCACGCCGCCGCACGCGTCCACACTTGGAACACTAGGAACGTGTCCACACTTTATTTATTTCTACTGAAATTTGGTCAAAAATTAAGTACCTATTTTTTTTACATAATTCGAATGAGAATCGTGTACCGAGTATTCTCCTTAAATATTGATAGTAATTCACCAGTCACCCTGTATATGTGTCTACGATACAGATACGATAAAGACTTTTTTTTTTATGCATTTGTATATAGTTAAAATACAGAAAACAACCTAACAGATTAAAAGGCTGCAGTCGAAATCTAAGGTATTTTAAATGATAGGGCTAGGACATAGATATATGTATTGTTTTTACCTACCTCATACATTTCTCTCTGATCGTAGCTCTGATTTTCATACAGACGGAGTCGCGGACATAAACTATTAAGTATACATATATAATATAAGTTTGTTAAGTCAGTGGTGGCTTAGTGGTTAAATGGCCCGCCTCTCATGCATGAGGGCGCTTGTTTGATTCTGGCAAGTACCAATGTGATTTTTCCGAATCATATGTACTTTCTAAGAGTATTTAGACACCACTGATTAAAAGAACGTTCCCAGAGAGGGTTGATGTCAAGCAGGCGGTCGGTCGTTAAAAAAAAATAGCCAAAATTCACAACATGTAAGACAGACCCTGGCTAAAGCTGGGAAATTGCCAGGTAGAAGATATAATATAATGTTGTATGTTTCAGGTATCGCGAGTGTGTAGCCGCCTTGTCATCTGTAAACGGTGTGAGGCACGTCCACTCTGTGCACGCGTGGGCTCTGTCTACACACCACACTGTACTCACGGCGCACATCGCTATCGGTTAGATATTATATCTTACTAGCTTTCCGCCCGCAGCTTCGCCCGCGTGGAGTTCGGTTATGTCGCGTTTCCAAGAGAACCTTTCAAAAGTCTGGGATAAAAACTATCCTATGTTCTTTCTCAAGGTCAACTCCATCTCTGTACCAAATTTCATTAAAATCAGTTCAGTGGTTTAGGCGTGAAAGCGTAACAGACAGACAGACAGAGTTACTTTCGAATTTATAATATTAGTAGGGATGTTGTCATGTGGACCTCAAGATGTATAATATATGTTGTAATAGTATATGTCAAATACTGATCTATATATGTACCCATGTTTAACTAAATAGTTTAGATGGGAATATTATAGGTAATTAAATAATTTACGATATTCTCTTCTGAGTATATTATGGACTCGCAAACATATCAAGATCAAAATTAATGCAATGAAAACTAAAAACTATTTTTTATAATATACTATCATCATCCGTATTTGAAATTTGTTAACATTATTATATATCGACAGACGAGCTATCAGAGTGGGAGTCAGTATTGTCAAGCTGTCAGCAGCTCGCTCGGCGTCAGTTCGACGTGAGCAGCGCCGCCTTCCAGCTCGAGAGATACAACACGGCCATGGACACGTGCAGCTGGTGCATGCAGCCCGCGGCACGACCATGACCGCCGAACACGCTCAGCCGACCGGTCAGTATACACACACACACACACACACACACACACACACACATACACACACACACACACACACACAAACACACAAACACTTACACACACATATAGGCAAACATTGACGTCCACACGTACACACACTCACACATACGTACATATTACATACACGCAAACACACACATAGACGCGTACATACAAAAATAAGCCCACACACAGACACATTAGACACATTAGTGTAGACATATACACATACAAGCAAACACACACACACACACGTACGCACCAAAACGCTTACACACCCACGTACACATATACACGCCCACACGCACACATAAGTAGAAGGTACAATACAGTGATACATTAATAATGTTCATACACACTACATACATAATACCACCCAAATTAATTATATCGAACAAAACTCAACCTTTCCGTCTATCACATAAGACTCAATTTAGAATTTCGTTTAATAATTAATTTTTATTTGTTTCAGGGAGCGGATTAAATGACAATGGCTGAGCGACAATGACGAGGTACAGATTAAAATAAACCCTACAATGACTAAATGAATGACTTTTGTTGAGATTTAGATCGGTGGGATAACGTGAATTTACATACACAGGATATTAGGGCTAGGATACATTATGATGGGAATAGAATATGTGTACATCCCCTTACAATTATTATATGTACTTAAATTATATAAGGGGCTTACTGAATAAAAGTATATAATTTCTTAAAAATATGTTAATTTAAATATAATTAGTGTGTGCAATATTTTTTTATTACATTTGTCTTCCTTTTATAGTCTTTATTTCTTGATACCTCATGTCTAACTTCATTATATATTCTGATTCTCATATTATAATATTCTGGTATTCGAGGATTCTCAAGTCTCGAGAATTCTAGGATTATCGTTTTCGAGACTCTTCTTGTTTAATATGCGATTGTGATAATAGACGCTAATATTAAGCTAAAGTTATTATTAGTTGTAAGGTATTTTCTGTTGATGAGACTCATTACGCAACATTCCAAAAAAAAAAGTATTAAAATTCATTGTATTTTTTAAATTTTTTCGAACATTTATATAAAAACTATTATAAAACAAACTTATATTTTTATTAATTTATTTTCTATGTCAGAAATTATAATATGTAATAGTTTTTATTTAAATGAATTAGTTATAAGGAATTTAATATTAAATGTAGCTGAAATCTGAAGAATTTGTATCAATTAAATAGAAATGTACGCTTTTTGGTAGTTTTTTCGGTAGATATTAAAGGCATTGGCTGATTTTTCTAGTTCGAAGTATTATTAGTGCCAAAGTATGAAATGTACATTCATATAGTACATAGACACACTCGTTGACTTGCATAAACAATTTTATGTGTTTGTTACTATTTTTATAAATTATTTCATAGAAAAATTGTAATATTTACGTAATTTTTTCGTGGTATCGATGTTTGCTTCAAGTAGTTGTTACACTAGTTCATTTTTATTAAGAACTGTCAAAATTGTAAAATAGATTTGAACGAACTTACAAACTTTTGGCGCCAACTGAAAGACAATGTCAAAAGAATAAAGGATATTTTTTGACGTTTATTATAAAATAATTAAATTAAATTAGATTGATTTCAAATATATTTATTTATTACATATTGTTCGTTTTATAAATGATGATATTATTTTTTAATATATAACTTGCAATCACATGAATTTATTATTTGTTTTATTGTTTAAGTTAGTAAGTTATCTCATGCTCAAAAGTTTTTAATTTATTTTGACGACTTGTATAAATAGTGTTGTTATTTTGTATTGGATAAGTGAATGTTAGAACGAATGTATGTAATAGTTAATATTAGGAAGCTGTAGTTTAGCTGTAAGCGTACAAATTGGTTTTCTGGGACAATTTATAATATGACTATAATGCTTTCTTAATTATTGTGATTTTAAACGCAGGTCGCAGCTTATTTTCAATATTATGTTAGATTTCAATGAAATTCTTATAATTGAAGTAATTATTATGTAAGTTTTTATTGTGTCCCGGACTTTATGCCAAATTAATTTAACCAAAAATAATGTATTTTTTATAGATATGTAAATGTTTTGCGCCCGAGTTGTTTCGCTGTTGTTACTTTATATAATGTATCGGCCGTCCGTGTGTAACCGTTGTAATTAAAATAAACTATTTAACATTCAAATGATTTACTTTTATTTGAAACCAAATAATTAACTAAGACAACTTTTTAAAAATTTTAATATAACTATGCCATTAAAGATAAATCTTTTATTTCAAATAAGAAGTATGAAGGTATATACATAATAATGTATTTTTCTTTATGATTCTATATGTTCGTATTTTTAAGCTGTTGCAGGCGGAATACTGAATCAATACAAATACTTACATAAACAGGTAACAAAAAAATATATTAATATTTACGATAGATAGATATTTTATGTTCCGATATACTAAATTTTTTATAAGGAATATAATTTCTTTTTATTAGATATTGTCGCGAAAGTTATTGGAAAACACTTAACAATATAGTTAGGAAACTCCTTGGTCAAGAAACAAAATAGAAGCCGAGTTAGGAACTCCTTGGAAAAGAAACAAAATAGAAGCAGTGCGCAAAAAGAAACATCGGCACTCTCTGGTGGTCCGTCATCGAGGCAACATCGCTCATGGGTTTTCGACTATTAATATTGGTTTAGCAATTAGTCTAAGGCTATTTTAAGGATATTACTCTGTAAGTACTTTAATTGTTGTTTAACTGGAGTTAGCAGGTTATCATTTCATTCCTTTATTTACCTTTTAAATTTGTTCATTTTAATTAATATCGCATAGTCAAATTGTCAAATGTCTTACTGTTATTTTATTTTTAAAAATCCGAACGAAGTTCCTTAATTCAGAAGTGGGATAAAGATCTCTTTTTTATAAATTCTTTGGTCCACCGTATTTTGTTTTCTTTTTGACAATTATGTCTAATAAAATGAATCGTAACCGATCTAAATTAGAAAAAGATTACGCCATGTGAAAAATAGATTGATATCTAGCCCACATAGATACCCTAGGGTGTCCATAGCACGAGTACGTTGTCGTAGATCGAGAAACGAGTCGAGCAGCAGTAAATTTTCTCAACACGCACCCGCATCATACTTACTTGTAAGTGATTCATTGAATGATAATTTGAATAACATTTTAGTAAGACTCAAAGCTGTCGATCAGTTTAATAATAGTGTCGTAGAGTTACAACATAATTATCAGGAAATGTTGCTGAATCGGTCGTAAGAAATGTGTCTATAGGTCACAATCACATAGTTAATAGTGGCAACGAATCACCAAACGTAAATAGTTTAGTTAACTTGAGCGATGTCCCTCAGACTACGACTCACGATCAAGATACCACTGTTCGCTATCCCGATACTATGTCAGTTTCGTATTTTACCATTATGACAGAAGCCCTTAAGAATCTCGCACTCATAAAATCGCTTCATTATTACGTGTCAATTTTTGATTCTTCTGATTGATTTATTGTGTCTAGAGGTAGATCGCGCAATGATAGTGGACAGTGGAAGATCATGAGTGTTTTTCCCGGGAAGCATCTTATTTAAAAGCCGACGCCAAAACATAACTAAATTCATAGGTCACAAATGGTCGTACATGGATATTTTTAAAACTCATTTAAGACCTTTCTGTTCTCAGAAGTTGGACTCCGCTAACATTTCCTTTGCATGTATGAACACGACATACAACTAATATACGACATACGCTGGGAATGTGAGACGTACATTATAACGTTTACGATTGGTTAAGGATTTATTTGCAGAGCTTGGAATTGTAATAATAAACAAACCAACATTAACAACTTTCAGAATAAAATGATAATCCCGCTGCTAAGTCGTCTTAATACGCGCATTTATTAAAACTGCAGGAAACTGTGAAGACGCATGTTTTGTCAAGTATAGGTAAGGATTAACTAACTACCAAAATGTAAACATATGTTAACCGAAGCTGGTGAGAAATATCGATGTGGTTCGTGCAGTTGATAGTGCATACCGATTAACATATTTATCAATATTGGTGATCACATCATATCACTGATTTCTTCTGACCTTATTAAATTACTTTCTTGCCAATCCAAGTATACGATGTACATTACGAGACGTTAATGAATACGAAACCTTTGCCACTCCTCACAACACAGTAACTATTGAATTCAGCAATATTTCATTTTAAGATCTAGTAGTAGTACCGTCAGCCTGCATGAATAACGACAGATGTTTTGAATCGTGTAGGAGTAATCTATGTAAGAGTAACAACAACAGTATATCACTCACGGGGATCAGTCAGGTTAATCAAGTACTAGCCACCGAAAACTCTTTATATAAAATCCCTCTGCCAGGTAGTAATCTGGAATTACCAATGTTTGTATTGTCGCCTTTCTCGGATTTTCTTGTGTACCGCTGCCACTACAGTACAGTATAGGTGAGATGAATATCAAACTTACTAGTTCAATTCCAATAACTTGTCGCCCATACAATTTATTTTACAGGAAGATGGTACAAGTTAGCGAAATAATGAAGGATCTCTTAGATAAAGGCATCATTAGGGAATCTCGATCCCAATATGCCAGCTCAATAATTTCAGTGACGAAAAAGATTTTCGAGCACTTATTCGCAATACAGAGAAGGAAAGATATCCGTTTTCATTTATTGACCATTAAATTGATTTTTTTAGGATGACATAACTTCGTCACCGGCCCTGATATGGCGACTTCATGAAATGAGAATCAGGGACGACTGTATTCACTACACAGGCTTCGTTACGTCCGCGTCAGGAGGGAACTACGAATACTGAAAGATGCCATATGGTTTGACAAACTCATCTATTGTTTACAAACCTATTATCAATTAATGTTATGCTTCGGGAATTCATTGATTCTGATGACTTGCTCGTTTATATCAACAAAGTACTTCTTCTGAATTTTAAT